ACGTGTCTTCTCCATCTTTTTATTCGTCCATGGTATATACCACAAATGTGCGGACCGGGCATTGAAGTTCTACACGCAGTGAAAGAAAGATGATTTTTTTTTGGCTGATGATCCACGACAGCTATGTAATAATTCTAATTACATGTAATAATAACAATTTTTTATTAATCAGTATCCTATAGGTGACGGATGGGAACCAGTCAGAAAAAAAATCATAATTTAAAAACAAAGTCATTGTACTTGATCAAGTCATACACAAGCCCAGTAGAAGTTTCCAAAACACAAAGAAATTTGTGATAAATTTTCAAGATGCAAAACATAGCCCTTAATGCTTTACTTTATGAAGACCGCCAGTTGTTTTGGCAGAGAGTGAATGTGATTAGTCACAGTGGAATAAATCTTCCGCCTGTACACTCATTGGACAGTACCAGTACTAAGTGTCTTAAAAATATTCGTGACCTTAGCTGCAACTGCCACAACTGTCCAATTAGTGTAGAGTCTGCGAATTAATCTTTAACCGATCACATTCATCTTCTGCTAAAACGACTGCAGTCGTGCCCTTCATAAAATAAAACATTTAGGGGTAGGCCCATGCTTTTCATCTGGAAAAATTATTGTGCTTTGGCAACTGTTTCTTGGGAAAGAGTTCCATCAACAAAGTGTACAAGTTCTCCCTTAAATGCTTCAGTACATGTAGCAAAGACAATATAACGTGTGCCCCCAAAATGAAATTTATCACAGAAAATTCCAAAGCGCAGTCTCATAGGCTTAGTGCATAAGGCATCGATTCTTCATGTTTCGTGTTTGCCGGGATTATCAAGTAAATTGCTAGTAAAGTACAGTGACAAATTTTCAGAAGACAATTAGCCTATAAATTGTTAACGACTGCTTCCCATCTCCCATGGGATTGCGCATGTCATATCTGTGGCTTGTTTGTCATACCCGGTACCCAAATAATGCATAGCAAAATAATATCGATAAGGTTGATAATAATCGTGTGTAAGACTCTCAGTCTCACTCGCAGTCCCAGCTTGGCGGGCTCAATGGTCGGCGCGGCCCGCCCGGCACCTCAAAGCCATGTGAGCACGGCCATGGTGCTATGCCCCATCGGTGGTCCTCAAAGAAGCAGAAAACGCCAGCAACATTTGCATGACCGCTTCTCAAGACTGATGCATTAAAGTTTACCTCATTCTCTTCAAACCTTTGGTGCAGGCTTTCCATGCTAAGGCTTTTCAACATTACCAACTCAGCGCGCAAAACGAACACCAAAAAACAATTCCGTCCCGCCAAGAAAAATGCGCCCTCAAGAGTCTGGAAAAGCCATGGCGGCGGCGCCGACGTGTCGTCTTTGGAACACCATATTTCTCTGCATCTTTCCACGTTTCTTCAGTGCTGGAAAACTTGTATCTTTGGGGGGTTAAGTGTACTGAAGAGGGATCTTTTTACATAATGAATTTTTCCAAGCTGCCCATGGCTTTGTCATGTACGTACTTACACAACAAAATAGATAAAATAAATTAGCTACATTTTTGTACGCCAGTGCAACATTGCGATTCAGTGCCTTGGATGGCATCCCAGTTTTTCTCATGCAAACCGTTGCATGAGCATACAAATTAAAAAGCTTCCGAATACAGGTTGAAATAGCCGGGCAAAAATTGAAATAATGTTATTTGAAACACAGAGGTACAATTTATATGGGACTGGTCGTAAAACCATTTTGTTGGCATGGTCCCTTTAATTTTAGTTCTGTAACCTGACAACTATTCACCCATTAGGTTTTGTTCTATAATACCCTATTGGTAGAATAAGTCTGTGCAATGGTACCAGGTATCCCGATCCATCGATTGTGGCATTGGCTCCCTGGGTTCTTTTTATCGCCGTCACTATACTCCGAGTTAACTTCATCGTCACCGTCATGAGTTGCCGTCTTCGTTGTCATCACCTTCGTCCTTGTCGTTGTCATTATCTCCGTCGTCGTCGTTAGCTATTACCAGTCCACAGCCGGACGAAAGCCTCAGCTAGCGTGGCTGTGCCACATTTCTTTCGCTCTTCTCTTGTCGTACCAATCAATTCTAATTCAGTAGCTTGTCAGTTTCATCTCCCACCTTGTTTACTGTTTTCCAGAAGTTTTGCCGTCCACAAGTCTCCATTACATTGCTATTAAATAATAACTGTGGTTCATTTGTTGCCTGGCCCTCTTCTGATGTGTACGTCAGGCTTCCCCATTCCATTTCCTGGTTTGGGTTATTGTCATGGTCATCTTTGGTTTTGGTTTGTTCTCTTACTCCGTTTTCCTGTTTTTACCTTAAATATGATATCCGGCATTTTAGTTATTTTTCCCTCCATTTTTGTGTAATCCAGACGTTTGTTCTTCAGACTCTTTAAATTTCGCCCGAGGTTGACTTTCAATTGGAGCACCAAGTTCGTGAAACACACTGCACTGGCAGAGCTTCACGGTCCCAATTGGTGGAACGTGAATTAAAGAGCGTCCGGTGATGTGAAGAAAACGGTACCTCCCAGTTCCCTAAAGTGCCGCGGGGCAAGTGCAACAACCGTGGATGAAACACGACATATAAGTTTTGTTCCTGAATATGCATATTTGCATATACCATCTTTATTGAGGGTACCAATGCGGTATCTTCTACATGTACTCTCATATCAGAATACATGTACATGTATATTCTAGTGTTGACGTTGTTGCTGTAGATAGCAGTTCGTCGTGAGACGCCCTCTGCGGCAGGTTATCGTAGCGGCTGGTTAAATTTGACATACAGCAATAACGTTTCAATTCAAGACCAGAATTACCCTCTAAATTGCGCATGTTAATCATGTTCAATAAATCAAATTTCATTAACGACGTCGTAAATTTTAAGCACAATGACTTTGCGAAGTTTATGGAAGTGGACAGCGAACCATTGTGTTGATATAGATGCGGCGATTAATGATGTATGTCATCACTCTGCATTTACCTAGATATAGTGAGCTATGAGCGTGTACTTACCAACATTGCCTTCTCTTCAGCAACAAATGTCATTAGAAATCCTAGCATATAAACTCATCGAACCAGGTGATAACAAAATACTTCCCTCGTACAGAAAAGCTAGACAACGAAGTATTGAACAACTTGAACGTATCGGGCTGTCGTGTGAATCGGTGCGTAGTGCAATTCAGGACTAGCGAAAACTAGCGGCGGTGATGTCAGCAGATGAGAAATCGGTAAATACACGTACATATTCCACTTGGGGACGGTGCAGTGTATCCACTTACGTTTCTCTTCACATTTAGGGAGCAACAAGCCCATTCCTTACTCTTTTTACAGTTTCAAAGTATCTTTTATGGACAAGGTCTATAACAGCTGAATTAGTCACTCGATTTCCGGCTGTCAGTGTGATTAGTAGGGATTGTGTGTAAACTGAAAATTAAGCACACCGACTGCAGTAAAATATCACTAATAATTACAGTGCATTCATAAGACGCACAGTATTTCACATATCACAAGTAATTTGTTATTCAGAGTCGTTTAAATATAGAAGGGTTACTGGGGGAGTAGAGCCCACTGTTCTCATGTTCATCAGATGTCAACTTGGCAAATGGTTCATGCACCGTGATGCACGGTAATTTGTGAATTGTCGAAAATTAGACAGTTCTGATATGTGAATTGTTACTAGGTAGTGACTCGTTCTAACCACTTGAAATTACAAAACGATCCCCGATTTTTCGCAATTTCGGCCAACATTTCAGAAACGACTGTAAATGGATTTTTGTGCTCTCATTCGGCTGCCACCAAAATGTATATCCTTGTAACAACAAAGAAACTGACTCGTCTGAACCGGGTGACTTGTCGATATTTGCGTTGGCGGCGACGCCGTCTGCCACGGCAAGCGGATTGATTGAGAGACTCGACCGGTGAACGTCAAGGCCCGCTCGGCCTCCGGGATGGGTGTTAAACCGTTGAAGTCCGAAATTTGTACGAGGGTGGAAGATTAAATTTCTTTGGATAGCGGCCCAGTGTCAAACGAATTACAGCCCTCTGTCCGTCTCATT